TCATTTTTACTTTCTTTGGGGGGGGGGAATGGGGGTCTCAAAACAGGATTTTTTTTTGTAGATTTGGAGCCTGTTCTGGAACTAGCTCTTATAGGGCAAGCTGGCCTCGAACTCACAGAGATCCACCTGCCTCTGCCTCCCGAGTACTGGGATTATAGGTGTGTGCCACTACTGCCCAGCTGCATTTTTACTTTCTTTTTTTTTATTGATATTTATTGAGTTCTACATTTTTCTCTGCTCCCCTCCCTGCCTCTCCCTTCCCCCCTTCAACCCTCCCAAGGTCTCCATGCTCCCAGTTTACTCAAGAGATCTTGTCTTTTTATACTTTCTACTTCCCATGTAGATTATATCTATGTAAGTCTCTCTTAGTGTCCTCATTGTTGTCTAAGTTCTCTGGGATTGTGGTTTGTAGGCTGGCTTTCTTTACTTTATGTTTAAAAACCACCTATGAGTGAGTACATGTGATAATTGTCTTTCTGTGTCTGGGTTACCTCACTCAAAATAATGTTTTCTAGCTCCATCCATTTTCCTGCAAAATTCAAGCTGTCGTTTTTTTCTGCTGTGTAGTACTCCATTGTGTAAATGTACCACATTTTTCTTATTCATTCTTCGGTGGAGGGGCATTTAGGTTGTTTCCAGGTTCTGGCTATGACTAACAAAGCTGTCATGAACATAGTTGAGCACATGTCCTTGTGGCACGATTGAGCATCCTTTGGATATATACCCAAAAGTGGTATTACTGGGTCTTGAGGAGGTTGTTTCCTAATTTTCTGAGCAATCGCCACACTGACATCCAAAGGGGTTGTACCAGCTTGCTTTCCCACCAGCAATGCAGAAGTGTTCCCTTTACCCCACAACCTCTCCAGCATAAGTTGTCATCAGTGTTTTTGATTTTGGCCATTCTCACAGGTGTAAGATGGAATCTCAGAGTTGTTTTGATTTGCATTTCTCTGATGACTAAGGATGTTGAACATTTCCTTAAGTGTCTTTTCAGCCATTTTAGATTCCTCTGTTGAGAGTTCTCTGTACTCCATTTTTTTTATTGGATTATGTGATCTTTTGGTGTCCAATTTCTTGAGTTCTTTGTATGTTTTTTCGATCAGACCTCTGTCTGATGTGGGATTAGTGAAGATCTTTTCCCATTTTGTAGGTTGCCGTTTTGTCTTTTTGACCGAGTCCTTTGCTTTACAGAAGCTTTTCAGTTTCAGGAGGTCCCATTTATTAATTGTATCTCTCAGTGTCTGTGCTGCTGGGGTTATATTTAGGAAGTGGTTTGTTTCCTGTGCCAATGCGTTCAAGTGTACTTCCCACTTTCTCTTCTTTAAGGTTCAATGTGTGACTGGCTTTATGTTGAGGTCTTTGATCCATTTGGACTTGAGTTTTGTGCATGATGGTAGATATGGGCCTATTTTCATTCTTCTACATGTTGCTATCCAGTTATGCCAGCACCACTTGTTAAATATGCTTTCTTTTTTCCATTTGATATTTCTTGCTCCTTCCTCCTTCCTTCCTTCCTTCTTTTCTTATGTATACAATATTCTGTCTGTGTGTATGCTTGCAGATCAGAAGAGAACACCAGACCTCATTACAGATGGTTGTGAGCTAACATGTGGTTGCTGGGAATTGAACTCAGGACCTTTGGAAGAGCAGGCAATGCTCCTAACCGCTGAGCCATCTCTCCAGTCCCTATTTTTTCTTCTTTTATCAAAGATCAGGTGTTTGATGTGTGGATTGATATCTGGGTCTTCTATTCAGTTCCATTGGTCCTCCTGTCTGCTCTTTTGCCAATACCAGGCTGTTTTCAGTAGCTCTGTAGTAGAGTTTGAAGTCAGGGATTATGATGCCTCCAGAAATTCTTTTATTGTACAGGATTGTTTTGGCTATCCTGGGTTTTTTTTTTTTTTTTTTTTTCCAAATGAAGTTGAGTACTGTTCTTTTGAGGTCTTTGAAGAATTTTGCTGGGGCATTTTTACTTTCTAATGGAGGCCTTTTATCCTTTGCCAACTCAGGGCAAATGGGTATGTGTCAGACTGTGGAGTGGGTGCTAGACTTCAGTTGGTACTCCCACTTTTCGGAGGGCAGTGCGGAGGGCCAGGAGGATGAGTCTATGACTGCCTGATGGCTTTTTAGCGTTGACCTGTGAGGAGGGATTAGTGGCAGGAGTGTGGGCAGAGCCACAGAGGAGAGAACCTGAGATAAGCATGCAGACCTTGGGTCTCTGGGTTCACTGGTTGGACCTGTGCTGCAGAAAAATCTCAGCTCTGATTCATAGGAACAGGACAGAACTGCAGGGATGGCTAGCTGGTAAGAGGCATGGGGGAGGCCCCTGGGGTTACACTGCAGGGGAGATGACATCCTGCTTGCTGAGTTGTGAGGTGGCACTTCCTGACACACAGATTTGGTGAAGGTGCATTAGGTACCTGTGAGGTTCTGGGACAAGTGTTCCAGGCCCAAACTGACCATGGGATGCCCTTGAGGGAGCCCAGTACAGAACTAAGGCTGCCTTCCTGTCCTGCAGGAACATTGAAGAAATCCTAACTGCCCGAGGAGAGGAGGTACGCCGCAAGCCTGAAGGATGCCCTGATACTGATCCAGAGGCTGCTGAACCGCCTGTCACCCTCCCTGGCAAGATTGAGCAGAGCTGACTGTGGGGACCAGCTTTAATAAGCTAAATATGGACAGGTCACCCAAAGGAAGTTCTTTGCCAGAGTAGAACTTGGCCATTGATAAAATTAATAAGAGGCTGGAGTCTCAGTAGTTTACCCTGAGGCAATGCCTGGCTGCAGGAGGATCCACAAGCTGAGATTACCCTAGGGCAATGCTAGCTATTAGACTCCCTCCTCTTCCCAGTTCACCTTGGGACCTGTTCCTTGCCTTAACAAGCATTAACAGCGAGAAGTAAACTTGTTCTGTGCTTACCCTGTAATGAGTACTCTGTAAATGAGTTTTACTCCATACTCTGTAAATGAGTTTTACAGAGTATGGAGTTCTAGTCTTGTAAAAGCCGCTAACTTGCCGGACGGTGGTGGCGCATGCCTTTAATCCCAGCACTCAGAAGGCAGAGGCAGGTGGATTTCTGTGAGTTCGGTTAGTCAGTTATCTTTAAAATGCTGATGTGGTAGGTTACAGGAATGGGCCTCACTTAGTTCCCTGTGTATGTTTTCAAGGTCAAACTTAAAGCAGGCCGTAAAAAGCAGGGTTTGTCCAATTGATGTGCCTAGGCTGAAATTACCTGGCGCAAGTGAAAAGGAAGCACGCAACACGCAACAAACCCTCTCAGGAGTTTATTAGATGGGGGTACGTACAGGCCTGGGGATCGGTGGGGGAAGAGAGGGAGAGAGCGCGAGTGAGCGCGCAGGATGGTGCATCCAGCTTTTAAAAGCTGCCTAGCCCATGCGCACAGGGGGTTGGTGTGACTGTCACCCTGGTGACACAGATGACGGGCTACTCACACATGTGTGCAAGGGTTTAGCTGAGTCATATGTGGATGTAACCACGCATGCGTGCACATGGGTCACGTGGGGCCCTTTGTGCCCGAGGGCCTGTCCGCACGTGCCTGCCTTTAGAACCCGGAAGTGCAGCCTTATCTGTGACTGAATAATTACATTGGCAGCCCTCATACTTCAGAGATCTACAGAATATGGTGTTTAAAATAATGACTAAAAAACTTATTACGTTAGACAGAGACTCCGAGATCCTAACAGTAACCCAAGACACCATGAGGTCTCTACCTGGATTACAACAACACTGACCACTGGGTGAGATGACCCAGTGCAACACTGGCTGCCAGGGGCAAGCAGGACCCAAGATTGGGTCCTGTCTCGCTGCTTGTGAAGGGAGGAATGTGGGAGCCAGCCATAATAAGCTAAATATGGACAGGTCACCCAAAGGAAGTTCTTTGCCAGAGTAGAACTTGGCCATTGATAAAATTAGTAGAGGCCTGAGGCTCAGTAGTTTACCCTGAGGCAATGCCTGGCTGCAGGAGGAACCACAAACTGAGATTACCTGACCCCCACCCAAGAACAGACCATTCAAAGGAAATGCCTGGCATTCCAACCGCTGTAGATAGGATCACCTGCCAGTACACATTCACCAGGACACCCCTAGACAGATGTCAGCCAATCAGAGGTCCTGAACCCCCTCACCCCCACCTTAACTACTATAAAAACCCAATTCTAGGACTGGAGAGATGGCTCAGAGGTTAAGAGCACTGACTGCTCTATCAGAGGTCCTGAGTTCAATTCCCAACACCCACATGGTGGCTCACAACCGTCTATGAGATCTGGTGCCCTCTTCTGGCCTGCAGGTGTACATGAAGGCAGTGAAAGACGACACCCCCCCCAAGCCGGGAGACTCTCACTCAAGTCTCAGGATAACACGACCCCACCCACCCAGGAACTCACGAGGTTTATTGACAGGACAGGAACCAGTGCTCCACATAGGGGTAGAGAGTTCGACCCCGAGTAGCTGGGAGAAAGGGTATTTAAGGGAAGAAACCATAACACAATAATCCAAAGGGGGTAGGGAGGGTGTCATTGGAAAATACCAATGATCATTGAAAAATCCCAAAAATACCAATGATAATCACTCCCTGTTTCTCAAGATTATTCTCAAGATTATAATCTAACTTTATCTTCAGCTAGTTCCTGAAACAGAGTCACTGAACCATCTAATCTAGATTTTTGATTCTTCTCTCCCTGCTTAGATTTTTGGCTCTATTTTTTTCTGCTAGAGGGATCTGGATTTATCCAGGTCTTTCAGCAGAACACTGTATACATAAACCAAAACAAAACAATTCTAATTGAGCTCAAGGCTCTCCAGATATTCCAATATGTTGGACATGCAGAGAGACCAAGTTTGCAAACTTGATTAAAATAAAGGCTCTTTGCTTTTACATATGGGACTCAGTCTCCTATGTTTGCTTTTGTGGGGACCCCATAGATTTGGACATAACACTGACTTGTACACTCCTGCAGCTGTGGACTCCCGTCTCCCAGAAGTTACCCCATCCACCTGGAACCCCAAGTCTGGCATGCTCCTTGTCAGCAAACAGCCGTCACTTCCAGGTGCTGGGCCTTGGCTCCTGTTGTCCTTTTCTGAATTCAGAACAACTCTGTGGCTCTGGGACCCCAGCCTCAGGAGCTTCCTTCCTCTTCTGTCACCTCATCCCTGTGGCCCTGAGCAGTTTCTGTTCCTCAGAGCTACACTACTTCCTCCTCTGTTGCCTGCTCCTGGGTAGCACTGGTGGCTTCCATCCTGTGAGCTAGTGTCAAGTCAAGCCCTGAGGCATGGCTTTCGTAGCAGAACTGGCTGCTCAGTGCAGCCATGGACCTGTGGGGTTCTGCTCAGAGGCTTGGAAGAAAGAAGAGTGATCCAAGAAGAGCCCCCCCCCCATGAGCTGCTTGCACCTCTTAATGCTCCTTCCTGTGTTGGGGCCTAAGAAGACATGCATGGCAGTGATGAGGGCCATATCATGCTTGCCTTGGTGTGTGGTTCATCTCCCAACTTTGTTTGACATGCATTCAGGATGTTCTTGTGTTAAGGAAAACAAGCAGATGCAAGACCAGGACAGGCTTTTTGCGGGAGTCTCTGGGCCCCGTGACCTTCAACATTAATCAGCAGCCCATCTGGCAGGGAAAGACCTGGGACAGGAGGGTGGGGAAGGCAGCTGAGTCGAGTGTGACAGTGACACAATGCTGCCCTGTCTCCTGGGACCCAGCTAGTGATTAGCAGTTCACTCTGGGCCGTGGGAGGCCGGGTGCACTTGCAGGCTGTGCCTCCACTGGATTACCCCCTGTCCTTCCCTTGGCAAACACCCTGCTATTATCCCCACCCAGAGCCTCCTGTGTCATTTGTGCAAACTGTCGGAGGCCTAGAGGCAGAAGCAGCCCCCAGCTCCAGCCTGCTCCCTGTGGAGGGCGCAGAGGTCAAAGCGGGCTGACTGTTGCTCATGGGCCTTGAAGTGCAAGCGGCCAGTGGAGCCTGACCAGGCTTTCTTGTTGCCTTCAAGTGTCTGGACTAGAGTTTGAGGAGGCCCAGAGGCGGCTAGACCTGATGGTGCAGAATTAGATGGCGGGGACCTGCTCTGGATGGGAAGGCGAAGCCCACGGTTTGGACTTTATCTTTGTGCCTTCTCATGCTGCTGCTCCAGAGCCCTCTCCTTCCGGGGAGCCTCTCCTGGACATCGGGGTCTCACTTGAAGCCTCACTTGCACACAGACCATTATTGCATGGTCCATACCCTCACCTTGTCCTGCACTTGGGCCACTGTTCCCAATCATAGCAGCCCTGAGTTCTGACTAGCTGGTCAAGCTGCCTACTCCTTCATTCCACCCCAGCATCCTAGTACCTCTTGGCCAGCCCAGTGCTTTCAGCATGACTCCCGTGGAGTGGCTTGGCCCTCTGACCATATGCCCTTCCCAGAGCAGCTCCTTCCCAAATTGGCCTCCCAGCACCTGAACAGTTCCAGCCTGCTGGAAGAATCTGGCTGCCTCTAGAGCCACCACCAGTGCTCCAGACTCCAGCGACTTCTCTGGGATATTTTATTGGTCTTAACCTATGTTCTGCCTCCCTTGGCCTAGGTCAGGCCTCTCCCCAAAGGGCCCAATCAGGATGGACTTGAGTTCCATGGGGTGCTGCTCACCACATGAACGCTGAGGACAAGCCAGGCCCTCTCCGAGTTTCTCTGTTGCTTAGACTGGCATAATCCAGTCCCAGTAATAGGAACAAAGGGAGCCCTGTGGCTGGAGCTAATCCAGTCAGAGTGAGGCTGCTCAGAAGGCTAGTCCCCACAGTGTTCTCCAATGTACAGTGACATGCCTGGCTTCTGCTCCACATCTCTGGAAAGCCAGGACAATGAAGAACAGCAGAGAGTGGAGTAGGCAGAGGATGCAGCAAGTAGAGGCTCTGGCCCTGGCCCCTCATGGCTACATGCAGCAGGGGCGGGCATACTCCTCATGATCTCAGATGGCTTGTATGCTGGAGGACACTGCACTGGACAAGCCAATCCCATGTCCTGGGAAGGCCGATGGACACAAATTCCACCAGAAGCCACACTCACTTGGCAGACTTTTTATTTCTGGGTAAAACAAAAAACGTACCTCTCGGGTTGGAAAGAACCCGTGGATAACATGGCAAACACATGTGAGCAATAAATACGCATGTACATTCAAGTATGCAGGCGGCCACTACGTCCCGCCCGAGACCCTGTGCTCTGGTATTTGTTCCTGCCCTTGGGGTGCTGTTGTCTCTTAGAAGTTGGATCACAGGGCTGGCCCTTCAGTTTCCCTTACCCTGGCCCCCTCCTAGGCTGCAGGGTAAGAGGCCCTGGGTTGTACAGAACCTTCCAGTAGGGCTACTTGCAGGATCTGCAGGCAAGAGCTGGGACTATAGTCCCCAAAGGTCTGTCTCGTGGATGTCCCAGCATTCCGGCCTGAATCTCCATCCCAACTGCAGTGCCCTGTGTCCAACTCAGATGTTGCCGCTGGACCCCTTGAGGAGAAAGCCAAGGTACCATTTCCCTAGTAGAAAGGGGTGTGTGTTCACTGAGGGGACTGGAGGATCTAGCTGAGCAGATACCCCATGAATACCCACTGCCAGCCAGCAGGACAAGTCCTCCTAGGACAAGACCCTGCCTATGTTTTTGGCTTGGAAGCTTGCCTTGTCCCCCTGCTGGAGAAGGTTCATCTTTCCTCAAAGGCCAAGTGCAAGACTGGGGACTACTTGGTCAGGGTGTCTGGACTTTGCAGCTGTCAATCTCCTGCAGCAGAGTTGGGCACAGACAGGCCAGGATAGGGCCTGCCCTGGGGAGGTGAGGCAGAATACAGAGTGTACCTCCTGCATAGCCATCCCAGGACCAGCTGGGGGACAGAACATGCCGTGCCACTGTAGCTCCCAGAAGAGTCTTTGAGGCTCCCCTGGGGAGCTTGGGGGAGTTGGCAGAATTTCACATTTGGCAGGGCAGGGCTTGAGGGAGAAGGGTCTGGACAGCACCGGGGCTTGGGGCCAACATGCTGAAGGCCCAGCCTGGAGCAGGGTAGGGCAGGGTCTGCAGGAAGCTATGGGCCATATGGGGTCAGAAGCATGCCCTCCCCCACATAGCAGCTCTAGCCTGAGCCCACTACCCTGGGATGGGGGTTCCTTGAGGGCTGGGTGCCCACCATCTGGCTCAGTGGGAAGGGTTTGGGGGCTGAGCTGGCACTCCATCATGGCCTTGGGAAGATTTGGCTTATCAAGGGGTTATGGCCACTGTGGACAACTGAGTCCCCAGAGTCCAGGGCAGGGCATGCCTGGCTGGAGGGGTGAGGCCTTAGCTGGCACCTGGTGGACACTGCTGTCGGGGCTCGTGCAGCCCACTGGCTTCCTGCTCCGGGCTCCCAGCAAGGTCCACGCGCTGCTCATCCATCCTCTTAGCCTGCACTCTCTGGATAAGGCTGAAGAAATCCTCATCAGGCATGGTGGGGCCTCGGGGCAGCACATCCGGGGGTGGGCAGCGCTGGTCATCAATCCTGGAGGACTGGGCAGACACAGTGTAGGTTGATGGTCTTACATTTCTTGGGTCTTGGGGGGTCGGCTATCCTAGCACTGGGTGGGCAATAGGCTTAATGAAAATCTAAGGGTGGCAAACACTGGCTCGAGAGGAGTAGTGTACTCCAAGTGGGACCCGTTTTCAGTCGCCTCTTGCCTTCCTGGTTCTGAGATAGTGTTAGGAGCCCTGCCCTAGCAATGTCTCTTGATGACATCTCCCCAGAGCTGTGGCTGGCCAACCAAACAGAAAGGGCTGGATAATATATTCTGGGCATAGAGGAAGCCAGCAGCTTCTAGGCAGCCCTAGGGCAAACTCCTGGAACCCGCTGATCCAGGGACTGTACCCCTAAAACTACCCTGGAACCTAGCACAACCCTGGACTGCCCTTGGAGGAACCTGGGGGCCACAGCTCAGAGCCTGTTCCTTGGAAATCACCCCAACCTCCACCCCGCCAAGAGTCTCCTTTGGATCAATCAGCTGACACCACGGGCTCTGCCTGTCCCGATGTGGGCCTGAAAGGTGTTTGGTTTTTCTTCAGAGCCTGGAGCAGAAGGGACCGGAGCCGGTGCAGCTGATGGCCCAAGTATTGGAGTGGGCGGGGCTTCTCGGGAGGAGCTGACTTAGAGGAGGTTGTCTGGACGCTGTTGTGGTTCTGTCTCTGTGAGAATGAACAGCGATCTGGAAGCTTAGCCTGAGGCAGAGGTGGGGTGCCGGCCCCCGCCCTTCCTGCGTCTGACCAAACCCCACCACATACATACCACCCACCTCTGTGCTGCCAGGCCTTGGGCAGGTGGCTCAGCTCAGCAGCACCCTAACCCTACCCCACCCCATATACCGAAGCCCATCCATGGTAGCCCTACCCTGGTTCTGTCTTCACAGGCTCTCCATTTTACCTGTCAACCCTATAGTGGTGGCCATTCTTGCCCCTAACCCTCCAGTCAGCTGTTAATACCCCAGCTCTTCTTCCCTCCCAACTCAGGGTGTCACTTGACCCTCAGCTTCCTCTGCCCAGATGTGGAAGCTGAAGTAGACATTCCTGGATTTGGGGACCTGGCAACCCAGGCTGACCTCTAGCACCAAAATGTGCTGAGGCTGGTGTCTCAGGACATGCTCAGGCCCTTGGCAGAAGGAGGGCTTCAGGCCTGAGCACCTGCGGGTGGTCCCTGACTCTGGCTGTGCCATCTTTCCTCAGGCATCCCTCATACAAGGCCAGAAAGAGAGACCAGAGCTTGCTGTGAGCCTGCTAGATGTCTATACTGCATTGTGCAGAAAACCACCAGAAGGTTGGCCTAGAAGAGACCCCACCCATTGTCTCCTGAGTGCAGGCCCACCTGGTACTTGATAAGCATGTTGAAAAACTCATCCCCTGGCTCCTGAGGATCCCCGTCGCCTCGGAGGTGCTCCACATTGTTGAGGGTGATGCGTAGCCCAGGCAGGCTGCCCACGCTAGCCCTCTGGTCATCCAGCCGACGGCTCTGGGAGCTGGCAATGAGGTCAAAGAACTCCTCAGTCTGTGGTGAAGCTGTCACGGAGGGCTGAGCTGCAAGAGACAAGCAGAAAGTGAGGCCTGGAGAGGGGACCACTGGGAATGCTGGCACCTCGAACTGGCCCAGCTCTCTTCAAAGGGAATATGGCCCCAGTAAGTCCTCTATGCCTGGGGCTGCTCCTAACCATCTTGCCCCTGCCCTGCCTCCCAGGACTTCAGGAGCTGACAGGAGAAAGCTTTGGCCTCCCACACGCTCAAAGGCTGAGATGCATAGACAGTGTGTGTTCTTCAGGGTGGGGTAATTACATACTTCCCAGGATGTTGCTTCAGGGACAAGTGTGGAGGGAGCTCTGGGTGATGGGGGCACTTTGCAGCTGGCCTCCCCTGCCCCCAGACTAGCTTGTTGGGGGCTAACAGGATTAGTGCTGGGTCTGGCTGGTGGGCTCACCTAGGATCTGTCCTTACCTGCCCTCTCCTCCAGGGTTGGGGCAGCTGTGGCCTCAGCAGCCCCTGCCTGGCCTTCCTCCAGGGGGCAGCGCTGGTCATCCATACGACTGCTCTGGAACTTACTCAGCAGGTCAAAGAAGCACTCCTCGTCCGAAGATGGGGCCCTGGGAATACCCTGGATAGAAAGGGAGGCCCCGATTCAGCCCTCGGTGCCTCTGTCATAGACTCACTGACAGGACTGCCCACCCTAACTATACACATTCCCAAGACGAGCTCTCAGGACCTTCCAGGGTGCCGCCCCCATGACACGATGCCTCCACTTCTGTGGCTGTCACCCCTCCAGCCAGCTTCAGTCACTTCCTGTCTTGCTGCTACCTTGGCCTGGGCCACCCCTACCCAGCCCCAGCCTGGACTTTCCCCGAGCTGACCCAGGTCAGAAACCACCATCTTCAGGAATGGATTCCACCCCAGAGGGCCCTGTCAGTCATACAGAGCTCCATTTGTACCTGGCCCCCAATCCTGTCACCCTCCAATGTCCAGTGAGCCGGCCTCTGCAAGCATGGAGCCAGGATAGCCACTAACTATGTGTCCTCAGTGGCCAATCTGGCTGCAATGATAGAAGGATCCATAGGTTTTTACCGCCAAGGGCATGGAGACCCAGGTGGGGAGATGAGGGTCTTCTTGCCTGTTTCTGGACTTAGGCCACACAGAGATGGTAGACCAATGTCCAGTTCAGAAGACAGCAGCGGTGTGAGGGCCAGTGTATGAGGAAGACTTAACACCCCCAGGTCCTCTGTGAGCTGGCTGAGGGGGAGGGCCTGGGATTGAGGATGGTTACACAGCTGCCTACTACTGAAGAGAAACTTTCTGGAGTCCGTACTGGGCTCTGGATCTATCCTTCAATATATGGTTAGCTGAGTGGGGGTCTAGTCTAAGGCCTAGGTCATGGGTGACTGTCCTGAGTCCAGATAAGTCATAGGGTTGGGGAGGCTACTTTCAAAGGGAGAGTTTGGGTCTGTGAATCCTGAGCATCAGGTGACTGGAGCAGGCTGCACCATCCCAGACTCAGCTTTCACAACCTTGGACGGAAAGGATATAACTCTGGCCTACTCTGCAGGCTGGGTCTCAGAAGCCCGGCCTGGGGTTCTAGCCTAGCAATGGACAGGATGGGGGTCCAGAACCACCTGCTGCAAGAAGCTGGTACCTGCCGCTAGCCCATCAAAGTCCACACAAAGAGCAAGGAAGCAATGCTGGGAAGGCCTGATTCTGCACAGCTGTGGCCTTCTGAATGCAGGAAGACTTCTACCCTAAGGGGCACTTTCCACGCCTGGGATTGCCCAGCACCTAGAGGCACAGCCACAGAGGTTGTATGGCCTCCCCAAGGTCACACAGAGGTAAGAACAGAACTGAGACCTGGATACAAGCAGACCGGGTAGACAGCCCCAACTTAGGACTAGATTCAAGACTCCAAAGGCAACGCAACCCAGTCTCAGGAGCTATGGACAGGGCAGTCACAGGGCAAAAAGACCCTACTGGATCTGGGTCCTCAGATTGACCTTGCTCTCCTTCAGGCTTTGTCCTTCTGTGGCCTAAATGAGCCCTGCAGCCTGACACTGTCAGAGCCAGGAGAAAAACCAGAGCCATAAGCAAAGGAAAGCTAACATACACAGCCCCAGCCAGAGGACAAGCAGCACTTGGGCTGAGCCAGCACTCCTCGAGGAGTAGGGGCTTCACAGTATGTCTGGAGAACTGGAGAGCTGCGGGATCCAAGATGCACTATAAAGTGGCTCCATGCTATCCTCCCTTTCTTACACACACACACACACACACACACACACACACACACACACACACAGAGAGAGAGAGAGAGAGAGAGAGAGAGAGAGAGCGCTTGAGGGAAGCCCTTGAAGGACTTGCATTTGTTCTGAGACTCCTCTTACCCTCACTCAACTGTCAAGATAGAGTAGAACCACATCCAGGCTGGAGACTTGGGACTGGGGCTCCCTTGCTTACAGCCCTGCTCTCCCCCCATACCCCTCAGGAGCATGATCTCATGTCTGAGAGAGTCCTGTGAGGACTGTAAAGGACTCCCTGTTCCCTGTTCCCTGCCCACAAGTCTCTGGCTCTTTCCCAAAGGGCTGACTGCAATCTCCACTACTTTAGTTTAAGCCCAGGTTCTAGAGACGTGTACAGCTTTGGCCCAGCCCACCCCTCCCCTGGCTGACCGAAGTCCCAGCATGCCCAAGGACCCACACTCACACAGAATCACAGGCTCCCTCCAGCAGCAGCAATCAGGAACTGTATAGGTGCCAGGCCACGTGCAACCCAGGCAGGATGCCAAGGTGCCAGGCACAGTCGCTACCACCTGCCCAAAGTGCCAAGTGTCTCCTCACTGCCGCTGCTGGGACCCACGGTGTTCTCCAGATGCTTAAATAGGATCCAGGGAGAAGGCTGGGCTCTCCTAGTACCCGCCCTCACTGCTGCAGCTCACAAGTGGTTGAATACACACACACACACACACACACACACACACACACACACACACACACTCCAGGGAGAAGGCTGGGCTCTCCTAGTACCCACCCTCCCTGCTGCAGCTCACGAGTGTGCAAGCGCTCTCTCTCTCGCTCTCTCTCTCTCTCTCTCTCTCTCTCTCTCTCTCTCTCTCTCAACAATGAGCTGGCTTCCCCCAGCTCAACAGAGCACACCCCTTGAGGCCTGTGGGTGGGCAAGCTAAAGGCTGTGGGGGTGGACAGCTTATTTGAAAGCCCTTTCCCACCCAACCCCTTGGCCCCTGGGCTTCCTTCCAAAGCTAAATCTGGGCCCCTGGGAGAAGCAGTCTCTCTTCCCTTAACTTTGCTCCTGAGGCTACCCCAGGTGGACTTCCAGACATTTGCAGGGTGGCCCCTTGGCTCTACTACAACCTTTCTTTAAGCCCCATGGATGAGAGGCTATGTGTTTCCTTCATAGCTCCCCAAAGCCTCCCTGTGATTGGAATAAAGTAGGCTGGAGTGTGGGGTTGAAGGCAGCCGCCCCGGCAGGAAGGGTGGGCTCCAGGCACTAAGAATAACCAAGGCCCCTATGCAGCACAGGCCGCCAGAGCCTGTGGCAGGGTGAGGGTGTTGTAAGCTACTTCCTAGAGCCTCAGGACCTGAGTGTCCTCCACAGGGACTTCTAAGCCTAAATACAGACTCTCTGCCTCTGGACCTCTGCCAGATCCCAGTGCCTGGAGATACTGCCCAGGCACAGTGGGCACCTACTGGCCCTGGAAGGCCCCAGCCTCCACCTGCTGGCCACCAGTCTTGTACTTCCCATCTTACCCTTTCTGTGTGCTGCCAGGAATGCTGAGTGCTCTCAGATCTGAGCATCCAGGCTGTGCTGTGAGCTCCTGCCGGACCACACCAACCCCCTACCAGGTTTCCAGTCTAGCTTTGATCAATGCTAAGCCCAGCTGGAGTAGGTGGCACCTCCCAGCCCAGACCTGCTGGAAACTGGGTAGATGCTAGCTCCCTGCTGTTCCTTCCACACCTGGCTCTACAGTTGTACACTGGCCACCCAGCATGTCCCCCTACATGATGCCACTCCCCAACTCTAGGGACGGCGCATGTGCCTCTCTCACACTGAACTGCCCCTAGTACTAAGGTCTTTTCTTTGGGCAAGCTTGGGGTCTTCCCATCCATCTCTAGCCACCTCTCCCGTCCCTCAGCTCAGGGCCACCACTCCCCAGGAGGCCTCTTAGACTCTGAGACACATTGAGGGGTACAGGCTGTACCACCTGTGCTCGAGGCAGAGGACTCCCCCACTAGAGCCCCTGTGTCCAGGCACTCAGGAGCCTCTAAAGTGACTGCTGAGGTACAGAAGGCATCTCTAAAGTAGGTTGTATAGTCCAGCTCCATTAGCTTATACAGCCAGGTATCAAGGGTCCCAGTAAGGCAAAGAAGGGGTCTGTGATACAGAGGGAGGTTACCTGAAGACTGGTGTCAAAGATGGAAACTTAGGCCTAAAGATAGAGCCTGTCTACAGGAAGGCTGATCTGGAATGCCCATGGGGGCTCTCTGAGGTACAGTTATGAGCTCAGCTCTGTACTCCAGAGTGCCTTAACTGCACAAGGCCAGGTGGAGGGCCCAGCAGCTCTGCCTCTCTGAGCAACCGGTTCAGTCTTGACCCCACCCCCACCCCAGGCTACCAGGCTGGATGGTGGGAGAAAGGGAAGGGAGGGCTCAGTGCTCACAACTGTTCCCTCGACTCAGGAGGCACCTACCGTATGAGGCACCTGGACCCTTACATCAGCGCTGTCCAGGGGAGAGTGGCTGCCCTCCCGCGGTCTCCTCTCCGTGGCATCTGACCCTTCCTGGTACTTCCTGCTCCTCATGGGGAGGGGGAGTGAGTCCCTGCCTGGCCCCCTCCAGTCCCCTTTGTGGTGGGTATCTCCATTCTGCTCCTGGAGAGGGAAAGGCAGGTTGGACATGAGCCAGGGAAGTTGGAAACCAAAGTCCCCTCTCAGCAGCTGGCCCAGCTGCCCACCTTCCTGGATGCACACAGGAGGGACTCTGTCTCTGAAGGGCGGAATACCAAGCAGAGAGGGCACAGACAGACATTTGAGGAGTGCCAGCTTCCTTAGATGTCAGCCTTTGAATGCTGGGCAACAGAGGTGACCATGGGTGTTCCTGAGCTTGAACTCATGTTATGCCCCTAGGGTTATTTACAACCAGAAGATCAGAGAGTCCAGGCTACCGTGGGCCATATAACACCCACACTAGGCCCCCAGGTCTGGGGTTTGACAAAACCCACCAGCTTCTCCAACAATAATAGCTGTGTCCCCTGCCCCAGACTCAGGCCAGTGGCAGGGAGCAGACAGAAACCCAGGAATTGCGACCCTGGGAAAGCTCATGCCAGAGGGTAGAATTGGATCACCCCCAGGGGAACGATGACAGATGGGTTCCCTGGAGGCTGCTGGGGGAGGGACATTTATCTCCCAGGGCACAGGGCCCTTAAGAGGGTGCTGACAGCTCAGCAAACGCTGCACACTGCACACTGGGCTCGTTAACCTAGAGCCCACATGCTGACCATGTCTCTACTGCCATCTGCTCCTCAGGCCCTCGGGCCACCAGTCCCGATCACCAGCTCACCCGGTCCAGGGGCAGTCGCAGCAGGTCCCAGGTCTCGGCGCTCAGCCTCTGTGTCCTCTTGGGTCTAGCTCCTTGAAGAGATCACAGCCCATCAGCCTGAGCTTTGAGGCCACTAGCCAAGCAAGGGACCCGGGAGACCAAGAACACAGCGGTACTGCGCCCCGGATCATGTAAAAAACTAGGCTGTGGGCACCAGACGAGGCAGGCAAGGATTGAGGACAAATGAGGCCCTGAGAAGGATGTAGCAGGGGTAGCTTTGGTGCCCCCCCCCAACAAACAAGGGATTCTCTGTCAAGCGATGCCCCGTGTAGCGTCCCTTCTTCCTGGAAGGCAGCCTGTGTAATCCATAGCATTCCCTCCATGAAGCCACACTTGAGCTCCCTAGCCGACCTTCTGCACCCACATGGGGATAAGGCAGAGAGGAACCTCTGGGTTCCTGTGCCTAGCAGATGGTTTGAAGTAGGCTCTGGGCTCCCACAGGAGACTTATCATCAGCCCTCAAGTCCACAACCACAGTTGGATGGGAAGGAGCAACTACCTGACCCCTTACTGCTCAGCGCTACCACCAGCCCTAGGGGTCCCTGACCTTCATTTCTAGGTGGGGTGGGGAGCTACTTCACCCTGGCCTTTCCTAGCACAGGCAGTGATGGGAAGGAGGCTGGGAAGGTGAGCCTGGTCTGGGCAGCTGCTTTGACTACCTGCAAGGCCCAGGTCTTGGGAGAGCTAGCCAGGTCAGTCAAGCCACAAATGGACAATTCAAGGGGGACATTGGGTAAGGGCCAGTATTAGGAGGACCCCGACCCTGAGAAGGGGAGAGAGAAGTATAGTGAGCCTGGCTATTTGAAGACCCAGCCTCTTTCCTGCCTGTGATGTACTAGTTCTCAAAGGAACTGTTGGCCTGCTACAGAGAACAGGACCTCTTTAACAGCCCAACATTCCTGCCACCATTCCCACCCCTCGCTGGGTCTGCCAAACATCCTCCAGTCACCAGACGGGCGCTGGACACCTACTGCTCATGAGCACGTCATACAGTGCATGCATACCCAGGGCGGGGCTTGTGAGGCAGGGAGTGCAATGAGGTGCGGCAGCCTGGATTGATGCTGCCATCCCCCTACAGGGCTCACCGCCGAATGCTGGGTGAACGCCAGTGATGGCCAGGGGTGGGGAACTGGTCACTACCCTCCGACCTATCCACTGTTGCATTATGTGACAAAGTGGTCAGCACTACACTGATGAAAGCAGCACCTTCAAGGTCACCATTGGCTACGTAGTGAGTTTGAGGCCATCCTGAGCCATATTCTCAAAAATCAAATAATGGGGAGGAGTGGGGATTAGTGCAAGGCAAGCCAGGTCTCCAGCATGGTCCCTAGGCCTTTAGTCAGATGGCTCCAGACCACCCTTCAGTGAAAGCACAGTGTATCACACACCCAGTGAGACAGGGAAGGCCATCAGAAAGGGATATGTGACTCCATCTGCTGTCCAAGATGGAATTTTTTGAGGGAGACAGCCTTGTGTCCTGCTCTCGAGTGGTTCAGAAATAAAACATCCCAGGAGGAAAAGCCACTGAGAGGGATGTAAGGTCGGGGGGGGAGCACACACAGGCTACAAACAAGTCCTGACACAGACAGGGGTGGCTCTAGACATCCAGGAACCTCCCCCCCCCACACACACACTGTCTCTCCTGTCTTCAACACAGCCCCTGCACCCTGCACCTTCAGGCACAGGGGCAGTTACAGCAGCCATGGGCCACTTGGTGCCCACTACGTGCCCGGGTTAGGAGAATGTCTAACACACAGAGCATGGAGACATCTGGGTCCCCATGTGTCCTGATAGGACTACCAGGATGAGTTCTCTGAAGAGCAGAGAGGGCCCTCTCCTGTGCTGCTGCATGGGTGGACCCAAGCTGTGGTGGCGACTAGGCAGTCCTTCTGAACCACAGCATGCAGCTGGTTCAGGACAGGCATCCTCCTGTGGAGACAGGGTGAGGCCCACTGGACCCAGCTAAATGGATCTTCTGTTTAGAGTCAAAAAGGTCAGGTTTGGCCAGTACTAACGGCCAGGTCTCCTTGGCTGAGACACCTCCACCAAGGCCTCAGACCCTAAACCCTCCTTCAGCTTCCTATCCACCCCACCTACAGTACAAGGTCTCGAAACTTCTCTATTATGTCTACCCACACAAGGTGGACAGTTACTGTCTTGTGAAGGCTCCTGACCACTATTGTCTGAGGGAAAGTCATCCAAACGTATGTGTGTTCCTCGACTTAGCCCTCCCTACAAGGGAAGGCAACCCATTCCCTGTCCATGGTGGCTGCTAGTGGCAGTTTTACCTCCAGACATAAAAACTGGCTCTCTTCTTCCAGGCGAACCTATGTCAGTCTGACCCGTTAATGTCTTCTCCATGCCAGGAAACACAGCGAGCCCCTGGTTAGATCTGCTTCCCGTCTACTGAGTCTGCAGGTCCGTAGGTCCTCTCCACAGCCCCCAACAGCTGCAGACATATCTGTGCAGCAGACTCAGCACTCTGGCCATTTGCCCGGCTGTCACTCTCAGCAGGTTTGCCTCCCAGACGGGGCAATGACACACAGGACTATGGTAGACAGGGCCAAGGCTCGAGTCCACAGCCTATACTGCCCCTCAGACATCACAAGCACAAAGCACATCCCTGACCATGAAGTGGAGAAGGACCTCTAGCGCATTTCCCGAAGTGAGCTGCCGTGTTCATACCACAATGCTGGGCCCAGAGGACGAGAAGGGTCACAGATCATCAAGAGCAGAGGGCTTCCACCATGTCACTGTGTGCACTGGATAGCCCAGGCTCGTCACGCCTGGCAGGGGTCAGAGCTAGCTCCCTTTCTTCCTTGCATGCTCCCCAAACCACTGCATTCCGAGTGGCGTGGGCAGAATAGCCAAGTGTGCTATAAGGGTCTCAGACAGCCACACAACCAGAGGGACTGGGAAGGGGGAGGCAGCTGGCAAGGTAGTACCCCACTGACTAGGGAAGTCTGGGGCTGCTGCTTTGCTGGCTGAGAAGACACCACCAAGGGGAGGTAAAGGGGTCTGTCTTCCTGTTTACATCCATTAGCTCTGGAGAGAAAACCTGAACCTTTTCCTGCCTCGAGCCCCCTGGCCACCATCACACCTACAGTGCACACCATGTTCCAAACGTACACTGCTCAGCTCAAAACACACATGGATCACTGCCCAAAGCCCAAATGCACGTTTCCCCCCACGGCCCACTCAAATCACTCCGCTTTTGCAAGGCCACAATGAGTGCCTTGTGCTAAGTCCCACAGGCCACACCCACGTGTAAATACCACACCAGACTGAGTTTAACAACGGAAGGCCACATCTCCCCTGGCTGTGACTTCTCTCCAGCCCTAGCAGAATGAATTCCCCAGGCCCAGGAGGCCACCTATCCCCCAATCCTGCTGGGTCTGTGCCCTTCGGGGTATCCACTTAGCCCCCTGAACCAGACCTACTGGGTAAGCACCTGCCTAGCTCCTGGTCAGTTTATAAGAGGCAGGGCCAGCCCTTCTCAAGTGTCTCTCAGCTGGGTCTAGCTTTCTCCTGGCTTCCTTGCCCTGCTCCTTCCTTGCTCACCTGAGTAGGGGTCTCCCTCAAGGCCACCCAGACTCTCACAGTGCCGGCCTGCCTTCAGCAGCTGCATCCCAGGACTTCAGGGCAATCAGCTCCCTCTCCCTGATGTCCTCCTTGGAGGATTAAACTTCTCCAGTGTCCAGGGCCCAGGCCTTTGGCCGCAAGTAGCCCTGTGGGGAGGAGACTTCCGGGGGCCCCAGCTGGGAAGGGTCTGGCATGCAGGGCAGAGCAGAGAAGCCAATGTGGGAAGGACAGAGCTGCCTTGTCCCTGGCCATTCACTCGTGACTTACCCCCCCCCCCCCGCCCCTTTCCTTAGCTTGGAGGAGGAAAAAGAGTCAGGACGAGAAGCTGGCTGCCTCTGTGGGACTCCTTCCAGAACTGCTCAGGGTACACAGGCTGGGGGCTGTGTGAAGAGCTCTATACAGAGCTATTTACTCCAGGAAAGCCCCAGCCACGGGCCCACACCATCCAATTCCTCCATCCCACCCCATTCACTGCTGCATCCCTTGCCACATGGAATGGCTGAGGGTCCCAGAAGCCTTTGCTCCTCTCCTCTGTCCCCAGCCTCATATTCCACACCAGGTCCACCCTGAAAACTCCCAGGTTTGAGGCACTAGGGGCTCTCATGTAGCAAGTATCCCTTCTCGACATCCTGAGAGCTGGAATCAGTGGGTGCCCCTGGGAAAAGACCCATGAATAGCTGGGGCTCCACTCCTGGGAAACTCAAGAAGCGGGGCATGGGGGGAGGCAGCTATGGGCCTCCAGAAGCCAACTCAGCATAGCAGCCTGCATCCACCATGCCCCTCCTTTGTTCGTATTAATGTATTTGCTTTGTGGAGAACAGTCTGTCCTTCCATTCACTAAGTGTCTGACCTGCAGGGGACAATCATCAGTCTGAATGAGGTCACTGAAGTGGCTTTGCCTGATTAGTACTCCAGGCAGGCGCTGACTGGCTCCCTCCAGCCTCCCAGAAGCCCCTCCTATAGAACAGGATGATGGACACTCTGGCTGCTGGGAAGGAGCCATTTCCTGCCTTCTGGCCATCAGCCCTGCGGTGCCACCGGGATCAGGGAGGGAGGGGCTCTAGGTGGCCACAGGTCCTTGCTGTCTCAGGGGCCGTGCAGAACAGGTCACCCTCCCTCTGTCATTGGTGTTCCTGGCTACTGACTACCACTTTGGCCCCACAGTTGCTCCTTGGAGTGGTTTAAATGAGAATAGCCCCCAAAGGCTATCTTTGCCTGCTATTGTTAAAAGCTATGTTTGCATGCTTGGTCCTAGGCAGTGGAACTGTTTAGGAAGAATTAAGAGCCGGCCTTGTTGGAGGAGGTGTGGCCTTGTTGGAGGAGTGGTCACTTGGAGTGGGCTTTGAGGTTTCAAAAGCCCCTATCAGTCAGGTGGTGGTGGCGCGCACGCGCATGCATGTTTAACTCCAGCACTCAGAAGGCAGAGGCAGGTGGATCACTGTGAGCTCAAGGCCAGCCTGGTCTCAGAGAGAGTTCTAGGATAGTCAATGCCTCACAGAGAGACATTGTCTTGAAAAAACAAAAAACAAAAACAAAGAAACAAACAACAACAACAAAAAACCAAAGAGAGAGCGAGGGCTTCAAGTCAAAAGCCCAGCCCAGTCCATTTGCTGTCTCTGCCCACAACTTTTCGGTCAGGTGTGCACTCTTAGGTGTTTACCCAGCACCATACCCACCTGCCTACCACCACATCCCGCCCCCCCCCCCCAACAGGACGAAGCCTTTGAAACTGTAAGGAAGCTCCCAACTAAATGCCTTTTCCCATGAGAGTTGCCTGGTCATGGTGTCTCTTTACAGCAACAGAACAGTAACAACTAAATTACCCCTGATCTCTGGTTTGCCCCAGTGGGGTCCATTTGTGCCCCAGAACTCTGGACACCCTGCCTATCCCCACATCACAGTGCAACACAGTTCTGTGTCCACTTGTCTCTCTCCTACCATTGTGAGCTCCCCTGGGCAGTGGGCAGCCGTCTCCCCTTACAGAGCAGCTGTCAGTGCCTCCCTTTCTAGCAGACCTGTTCCCTGAACCAAGGATGAGTCCTGTTGATCGAACCCTATGTCTTTTCCTCTGAGCTTCAGGGTATGTCATACCCCTGCTTGGATGCTGCTTTGACCCTCAGGCTGAGGCCAGAGCCCACGAAGAAGACCCCAGCCCTCAGGACCAGAACTCACCTTGTGCCTCGTAGCCAGCCAGATCTGGCTTTTCTGCCGCTGCTGGGCTCGTCAGCCGGCCCAGTGCCAGCTGCAACTGGGCAATATTCATGCGAGCTGTGAGCTCTCCGTTCCGGTCTCCGATCTGAAGCAAGCAGGGGTGGGGTAGATGGACAGGTAAGGCCTGGGACTGTGGTCTGGTGGTGGTGACAGGGCTCCAGCAGCCATCTTTGGCCTGCCGGACAGCCTAGGCTGACCCTAGACCCTCGGGTTCCAGTCCCCACTAGCAGAAGTCGACTCTAGTAGTCTATTCCTAGATGTTCTGGATGGCCTCTAGTCCACCCTAGAAGTGCTCAGGGTCTTGGGAGACACCCTGTGAGCGGTCAGCTTGTCCCTGCCCTGGGCTATACCTGTCTCAACCCTAGGGGCCAGTCTCTTCGGCTCCACCAGCCTCAGGCTCCACCAGTGGGCTTGAGTACAAGCCCAACATGAGGAACACAGGGAGCCACAGTCTTCGGCAACTTCTGCTTGCACTCATGGGGATGTGGGGCTGGTCACCCTGTGGAGGGACCTCCAGACAGGCTTTCTTCTGCTCTAGACCGTCCTGTCCTCCCACCTGAACCTGGGCATCCCAGAAGTTCCTTTTGATGTTGTGGGGGCTTGAGGCCCCACCCTTAGTTAGGGAGGGAGGTTTCTTGGGATATCTCTGCACTGTCCACAGTAGAAGGGGACTGAGCAAAGGGGAGGGAGATTCAGCTTCCTAGGGATGTGTCCAGGGAGTTCCTGAACAATAGAACTGCTGCCTCCCTGGTCCTCTTCCAAGACGTTACTCCCAGCATCCCCATAATCCAACACTGTCCCCCACACAGGGGACACCAGGACTCCAAGGGTGGGAAACAGATCCTTGCTTCCCCAAAGACCCACTGACCCCTGTACACACGAGTGGCAATTGTTCATTCAGGAACCCAGTGTTCAGAAAGGCCAGTGGGGTCCCCCAAGAAGGAGACGACAGGCTGCTGAAGCACCAGCAGAGGCCTAGGGAGTGGGCCCAGCTCACCTCCTGAGAGATCTGCAGATGCTTCTTGGCAAAGGTCAAGGCCTGTGCGGGGCTCCCCATGGACACGTAGGCGTTCCCCAGGCTCCAGCATGCCCGGCCCTCTCCCACCCTGTGGAAGGTTAAACAATCACACCTGCCTCCCAGGACTGCCTGTGGCCCCAAGTCCCTGACCATCTCCCAACCCTGGTATATAAGGTACCAACAGCACAGTGACTCCTCTGTTGCCCAAGGGGCCCAGGGGCCCTGGGCACAGTGCTAACCAGTTCACCCCCTTTAGGGAAAAGCACCAACCAGCTGCACTTTCATTCTTTCTTGCTGAAAGAATTAACTTGAGCAACTGAGTTTGTGACCAGCTTACCCTGGGGCCAGCAGAGGCCTCCATAGGGCCCTCAGGGCTCAGCCCTTGGGTCCTGTTGCTCAAAGCCTGGCTCGCCCCCTAATGGCCAGCAAGGTAATATCCCCTGCTCCATGCTCCCTCATCCAAGTCCAAAAAGAGACACTTAACCTATTCCCATTGTTGTACCACCACTGCCTCTATCTAGTTCTAGGACACGTCCATTATTTGCCCCTCCCTGGGGCAGAAAGTCCTGGGGATAGGGCAGCTCTTGGAGAGAATCCCTCACACTATAGCTGGCCGCAGGCCTGTGGCCCTGAGACCCTGCCTGGTACAGCAGATATGCATCTAAGGCTGCTATTTCAGAATTGGAGGTCATGAGATTTGTTGCCACGGGGAGAAGGATGCAGGTCTAAGCGATGGAAAAACCTTCCTCCATCCCAGGTCCTGACAAGGGCCTCTTCAAGCCTTGGATTTACCTATTTGCTTAAACTGTGTCCCCCTGAGGGATAGGCTGAAGGCCTGGGTGGGAGGCTGCTGTGACCATGCTGTCGTAGCAGGGGAGTCACTGTACCGGTCCCGGCCAAGGCCTTATTGGCACACACACCTATCAGCCAGCTCCTGGGCAATGACCAGGTGCCGCAGGTGGTACTCAGCAGCACGCTCGTAGTCCTGCAGCAGCGTGTAGGTGTTGCCCAGGCTGTAGCAGGCCTGCGCTTCCACTGCCTGGTCCCTGAGCTGCCGGGACAGCTGCAGCGTCTTCCTGTGCAGAATGAGAGAGTCAGTACCTAGGCGGGTGGCAGTGTCTCCTTTCCTCCCCGGGAACGCCTCTCTTCAGGTGGCCACAGCTTTTCATTCGTGGCGCCAGATGTATGTGGGTGCGTGGGTTGGGCTAAGGAACGGGTAAGGCCACTGATCACTGAGCTGATGACACTTCCACAGGGGAGCCAAGACCAAGTGTCCACAGCTCCCCAGAACCACGAGATGAGCACATAGGCCCCACAATAGGCCCAATCAGACGTCCCTGTTATGTCTAGAGGCCACCACTCTACCCAGGAAGCAAGTGACTAAATACTGCAGTACAGGTCGGGGACACCCATGAGCTTCACGAATTGGCCTTTTTTAGGGTAGCCAGAGTCCCCAGCAGGCTCCTGGGAATGCTAAGTGATGAGTGATCCCTCTGGAGCATGGGAGGGGCACCTCTGGAGCCTGGTGTTGAGTGCACCCTGGGGCTGCCCCCTGGGGTGGGCATTTCTGTGTGGCCTGTCATCCACTGCACCCAGGGCTTACTTGTAATGTTCAGCAGCCACATCAAAGCGCCCCAGGAAGATGTGGGCATTGCCCAAGTTGCTGTAGGCCCTCCTCTCAGCCGCCTTGTCTCCAAACTCCTTGGCGATGGCCAGGCGCTGCAGACAGACCGAATCCCAGAAATCACCACATAGCCCTGGAACCCTAGACACACAGCCAGGGATGCCTTCCTGCCCAAGGTGCTGATTTGATCTGGGTGTCCAGGGGAGCAAACGGGAACCCCAGGACCAAATACAGTAGGAGCTGGGGGATCAGTGGGGCTGCCTAGCTGTTGAGGATTTTGAGGGGTGACCCTAAGCTCTCCTGTTGTAGCATCCCTGCCCCAGCACCCAGGCCCAGCTCACCTCTTTGTGGAAGGTTGTGGCCTCAGTGAAGTTTCCCAGTAGGTAGTGGGTGTTACCCAGGTTGCCATAGGCCCTGCCCTGGGCCGCACGATCACCTAGTTCCTTCACCAGGGACAGGTTCCTCCTAGGGGAACCAAGTCTGTCTGAGCTGTGCCCTTCCCAGCACCAGAAAAGTAGCTTACAGCTTCTCCCCGCTGAGGTCGGAAAGTACTGAGGGGTTCTCCCAGGATACAGGGTGGCTCAGAATAGCTTCTTTGGTCCGGATGACATCTGAGCTTCAGCCTGGTTTGGTCAGACAGGTGTGTGGGAGGGGAAGGGTGGCCACAAAGCGTTAGGGCTAATGTATGCGGGGATATTTTGTGCCTGGGATCCTGCCCGGTCCTTGCCCGGCACATATTGGTCACAAGTGTCTGTGGACCACAAGGGCGTTCAGACAAGCCTGGCGCCATCGGTTCTCACCCTGCGACGCCGGCCCACCCCATGCACTCACTCATAGAACTCAGAGGCCCTGTGCAGCGTCTCGCGGACATCAGGTGGCAGGTGCCCAGGGTCCTGCGCGGCATTCCAGGACAACTGCTTGCCCTTGGCGTGGTACACATTGCCAATGTTGTAGAGGGCTCTTGCCTCCCCAACCTGTGGGCAGCAGCAAGGTATGAGGGCATGTTCTATAGTCCCCCAGAGAACTCACCCCAAGGTACATTTCCAGGGGTTGTACAGCCCCTGGCCTGCTAGGTCCCTGAGGAAGGGCAAACCCAGTTCTACCCCCTACCCCTTCTATCCTCCGACAGTTGGGTGGCAGAGATAGCCAGGCTCACTGTTCTGTCTGCTAATGTTTGAGGTTGAGAGCCCCAGCAGGAATGGGAAGGGCAGAAGACACAAGGGGCCAACCACCTACCTTGTCCCCCTGCTCCTGGGCAATGTCCAAGTGTCGTTGGCAGCAGACGATGGCCTCATCAAACCGGCCGAGGACCTTGAGTGTGTTGCCTAGATTCCCGCTGGCCTTGGCCTCCCCCATGCGGTCGCCAATGGCCCTAGAAGGCAGCAAGGAGTGAAGAGCAGGCAGGGGTCGAGCTGGGCCCTGAACTGAGCAAGGGCCAAAAAAGCCTTAGAGAAGGCCTGGCAATGGGGTGCTAGCTCGACA